TGTTGTGTTGTTGGGTGAGTGTGTTCTGGTATGTGTGTGGCTCATCAGATGGAGGGACCCCATCGTGATGCAGCCATCTTCAGCCACAGAAACCACTCAGCTTACCTACAATGATTGCCACCAAAAAGCTTACAAGACCGATGCTATAAAAAACACACACACACACACTACACAGCACACACCACACACACACACACACACACACACACTCTCTCTCTCTCTCCTGGAAATCCCACTCAGCTTCTGTCACAATGAGCTCAGCCCAGATTTTCCCTTTTTCATGTTTGAATTTCTGAGGTGAAACGAGGAAGAGGAGGGAGGAAACCTGCAGGAGGAAGAGAAAAAAACACTTGCAGTAACGCTCCGGTTTGGTTAATGTTCAGATGAAAGTATAGACAGGAAGTGACACGCTGACTCTCTCAGCTGGGCGCCAGCGAGGCAGCTTCTTCTCAGCTCTGAGGTTTCATCAGGTAACCAACAGGTGAACAAGGTCAGGTCACTTTTAACCGTCCAATCACTGGACGGAAGGCGGGACAAATGCTAAACCAACCCACCGCCACGGCCTGCTCGTCTAACAGTTTTCACTTCCTCACCGGTGAGAGTCGTTACTAACAAAGTAACTACACATACTGCATTACTTCTAGGCAAAGTAACAAGTATGTTGTAACTAGACTGTTTGTTACATTACTTTCTCATTACTCTGCAAAATGACCTGAAACTCATCGTCTCACAATCTACGGTGGCCCTGAGAGGTCAAACATACTGCAACTCAATGACAAGCTAACAGTACATGGCTAATAGCAAACATGTTATTACAGGAATCATGTGATTAAAACACACATTAGCTGCATCTCCCTCACACTGCAGGTGAATGCTTTTTATTCAGCACGTGCCAGTGCGACACGTTAATGTCTCCATCACGTCTCCATCACGTCTCCATCATGTCTCCATCACGTTAATGTCTCCATCACGTTAATGTCTCCATCACGTTAATGTCTCCATCACGTCTCCATAATGTCTCCATCACGTTAATGTCTCCATCACGTTAATGTCTCCTCAAAAACCCAGTTTTTGCGCCGTTTCTGTTTGCTGGTGTTTTGAGTTGCCGTGGATTTGTCCCTCCAGAGTCGGCGTATTAACAATATAAACCTGAGCCTACAGTCGCGCACACACAAGCACTGAGATGAAAACCAGCCCAAAGCCGCGGTGATAAAACATGAGACACCATCGGCTCTGGCTGCCGGGCTGGAGTCTGCATACACTCGGCTTTAACATCACTCGGGATTCTTTGTTTGTGCAGATGTTAGCAGCATAATGCAGATGTTTCTGTCAGTCGGCACTTCCCCAGCACACGCCTGGTAATTCCGACCACTCCGCCATTTTCCTCCATCAGCTGATTGCCATGAGAATAAAAACTTTGTTTAGTTTTTAATTTTTTCTGCCTGCCGTGCTGATAACTGAAGAACTTTTGTAATGCGAGTAACAGCATACTAGTAACTGTAATGTGATTACAGTAACGTGTTGCACAAACACTGAGCAACCACAGCGTCCCCATGAAAACAGAGATCAGGGGAGAGCACGCCATCAAACATGGAGTCACGTTTCCGTCAGAGAGCGCCGAGCACGCAGTTACCAAATTGGTAAATCCAATGATGAATCGTCACGGACAGCACACACAGCGGGATGGCTCTCTTCCACTCAGTTACTTTTTAGTCTAAGAGTAATCAGACTACTGTAGTTTCTCAGCAGTAATTAAGCTCCAGTTTCCTCCTCCGAGCTTCGTCCCTCCTCCTCCTCCTCCTCCCTTCATGTTTATGGTCTTCCACAGGTGAAGGATTGAGGCGCTGTGTGTCTGCGTGCACACTGATCGAGCCCCGTGTTTGTTGTAGTTTAGTGTGCGGAGGTAGCGATGCTGTACATGTGGTGTAAGTTTAGACCTCACCGTTCTTCCCTCTGTCTCTAGGTTTGCTTTTCCTTCTTTTTATTAATGGTGTTGATGAAGGGACGCTTTCACATCCAAAGTCTTATTATTGTTCAGACGAGCAGTTTTCTAGCAGAACAATCAGTTTGTACCAATCACACAAGTTTTATTATGTAGGCTTTTATTTGTCACAGAAGTTTCCTGTTAGTTCGTGTCTGTAGATTGATTTTTGTAAAAACAAAAAACAAAGAAAAAAGACGACGTTGAACCAAACGGGCTAAATTTCTTCACCACATCTCGATGCTCGATCAGACACTCGTTGATGTCCATATGTATCGATGCTAGCGGCCGAGTCGACTCCTGACTGGTCTGAGCCAAACTGCAGATCCGTGAAAATCAGAGGTTTTATTTTCCCAAACACGTTTAAGTTGCTGTGTTCCTGTTTTCACATTGACCCCATCGCTGGGTTAAAACAGCTTCTGAATGAGCTTCGGTGAAACCTGCAGACGCCTCGTTACCTGATTGGCTGACCAAACCTGGAGTCGGCACATTTCCATCATCGAATAATGAAACCGATGTATGTAAGAAGATAGCAGCCACATGGTGATAATAATGATGCATTATTTAATTTATTTTGATTTTCTGATCTTTGTAATGATTGATGAACTAGCCGCTGTGAGGAGGATGTAGACATCTTTAGATGTGAACCGTTCTGATGGCGAGGTGACAAATGGCAGACGTGCTGTACATACACACAGAGGCGTAGAGGTTTGTGTTTGTAGCGTGGACGTTTGCCTGAAACGACTATCTGATGTACTGTTGTAAAATAAATGTTTCTGATGCTTCGGAGCCTCTTTGTCTGTGTTTAATCTACCACTGTAATCTGTAATCCACACATTGTATCAGAAGTCGTTACTTTATTCTCAAAGAGTACCCCTCTAGCTGTAAGAAAGAGGTAGGATGCAGCCTTAGCCTTACTAGCTGAAGGCTTTTCAGGGAGTTTTTAGGACTTCCTGATAATCATGAATTACAGTCGTCCAGCCTGGAAGTAATAAATGCATGAACTAGTTTTTCAGCGTCACTCTGAGACAGGATATTTCTAACTTTAGAGATGTTGCACAAATGGAAGAAAGCAGTCTTACATAGTTGTTTAATATGTGCGTTGAAGGACATGTCCTGGTCAAAAATGACTCCAAGGTTCCTCACAGTGTTACTGGAGGCCAAGGTAATGCCATCCAGAGTAAGAATCTGGTTAGATACCATATTTCTAAGCTTTTCAGGGCCGAGTACAATAACCTCAGTTTGATCTGAATTAAGAAGCAGAAAGTTAGCGGCCATCCAGGTCTTTATGTCTTTAAGACATTCCTGCAGTTTAACTCATTGGTGTGTGTTATCTGGCTTCATGGACAGATAGAGCTGGGTGTCATCTGCATAGCAGTGTAAATGTATGCTATGTCTTCTAATGATGCTGCCTAAGGGAAGCATGTATAATGTAAACAGAACTGGTCCTAGCACTGAACCCTGTGGAACGCCATAATTAACCTCAGTGTGTGAAGAGGACTCTCCATTTACATGCACAAACTGGAGTCTATTAGATAGATATGATACAAACCACTGCAGTGCAGTACCTGTAATACCTACAGCATGTTCTAATCGCTCTAATAGGATATTATGGTCGACAGTATCGAACGCTGCACTGAGGTCTAGCAGGACAAGCACAGAGATGAGTCCACTGTCAGAGGCCATAAGAAGATCATTTGTAACCTTCACTAAAGCTGTTTCTGTGCTGAGCTCTGAAACCTCGCATTGACACATACTTTTTAAGAAGTCAAATCAGTCGATTGAAGTCCAGAGGCAGGAGAATCCCCACAGTCCTCAGGGCATCAGCACCCCGTTCGAAGTTCATTGTCGTACAGACCCTCCCATAGTTTTCTGATTGGAACTCCAGTAGCAGTTCCCAGTCTACAGCTTAGCAATCTACACTCAGTATTAGATTCTAGCCCAGCCGGCCATTTAATATCAGCCCCTAGCTTGGAGTTTAGCCACCAAATGCTAGCAACACACTTGTGTACAGATGTAAGCGAGCTAGTGAGCTTCTCTGACTCACTGACTCGTATCATACTCCTTTCACAAAGTTTTACAGCCTGCCCCAGAGCATTATCATTCCCAACGTGTAACATATGGACGATTCGTCACATTCGTTGGTATGTTTATATTATTCTAATACGGTAAAATATATTTGTCCTACAGCAGCCACCATAGCTAGGATTATGCACTTCAGCTGGGTAGAAGACAGAACTCTGCTGACATCTAGTGGTGAGGTTTAACACGCTGTATCTCAAGTATTGTAGAAGAAGAGTGTGGAGACAGTAAAGATGCATTTAAGCTTAACTACTGAATTACAGTGATGAGATTTAATTATTATATAATAACTGATCCTGTGTGAGGAATAAAATGTAGTCTGGTTTAGAAGTGTGCAGTGCTGGGTTCCCTTTCATAGAATAATATTATCAAGATGTGTCAGTACCAAAGTGGTCAGCAGGAGGTGCTGTTGTGTCAGACTGAACAACAAAAAAGCTAAAAACCCAAACTGCTGCGAGTGTTTCGCTGTTTCAGTCTCACAGGCTTACCGGCCGGGTGCCGGAGCTCTGAAACAAATGATTTTCACAGTAGCACACCTGAACTGCCCCGCCAACATGACCTCACTCCCAAAAAACAGAGAGCCCTTCAAAATAAAGGCCCACATAGGAGACGGTTAACTGTTGAGGATAAATGCTGTAATCTGACAGCCATTCTCAAACACTTACATCAGACAGATATTGTAAACTATCAGATAAAAGCTGTACTGATGTGTTGTTTTCCTCTGTGACCTGTTTGTGAAATACTGCTTCAGATCTAAAACTTTAAAAGGTCGAAGCAGAAAACCAGAGCTGAAGGATCAGGCTGAGCTTCAGTGATGGTGTAACTGAAGGAAAGGCTGTTCCAGCACGGCCAGGGCTTAATCTGTCCACATACCAGCCTCCTCATATGGAAAGTGTGTGTGTGTGTGTGTGTGAGTGAGTGAGTGAGTGAGTGAGTG